TCCAGACTAACCAGGCCCTCATAATGAGACTCTGTCTCAAAAGCTGATAAACAATAATAACAAGAAGCTTAAAAAACGTAAAGCAGCCAGGCGGTGGTGGCACACGCCTTTAATCCTAGCACTTGGGAGGCAGAGGCAGGCGGATTTCTGAGTTCGAGGCCAGCCTGGTCTACAGAGTGAGTTCCAGGACAGCCAGAACTACACAGAGAAACCCTGTCTCAAAAAGCAAAAAAATAAAAAATAAAAAAATATAAAGTAATAATAACCCATTAATTCTGAGCATATATATATGAGTTACTCTGTGTCCTCTTCTTTATAGTATGGGAGCCTCTCTGTACAGTATGGGCTATGCCTGTCTGGGCAGTGCCCTGGGAGGCCAGAAGAGAGCTGTTAGCCACCATGCGGGTGCTGGGGGCTGATCCTGCTCCTCTTCAAGAGCAGCCAGTACTACGAAACCATGAGCCATCTCTAGCACTGCCCTTCATAGTCTTTCTGTAACGTGTCACTCACTCACAGGGATATATATGGTCTTGGACCATTACTCATTATCATTATTGTGTGAACTTCTTGAACAAATATGCATGAATCTAGACGGTACAGCCTATGACGTCCCTATGCCGTATGCCACTTGTATGTGGTACAGCCGACTGCTCTTAGACTACAAACCTATGTAGCATATTATTGTACTGAATACTGTAGACAATTCTAACACAACGTTACTCGTGTCTCTAAACATACTGAAGCTAGTGAGGGGCCAGCGAAGTACTAGCTAGTGGAATTTTCTCTCCACTCCCATCAGATGAGACCACCATTGAATATATGGTCTATGATTGACTAAAACATCTTAATATAACATAGGACCGTACTTTGAAACCCTCTCAAAATAAAAGTTGCTTTAAAAGAAAGAAATTAAACAAAGAAGAAAGATGAAGCCTAGGTCAAAGGATCGGATCAGAACTGAGGCCAGAGAACTGAGGCTGGATTGGGGCCCAGGCAGGGATTGGGCTGGCTCAGTGGCAGCCCTTCCACACAGAGCCCAGTGTTTCCTGAGCCAGGCTTTGGGCCAAGAGCAATAGCACTGGCATCAGGCAGCCTCTGCCCTTTCCCCCAATAACTGTACCCCCAGCAGGTGAGGGGGTAGATGAGAACTGTCCTCCAGAGACCTTCTCCCCATGCATGGCACTCTAGGGACACAGAGTCTGTAAACTTCTTCTGCCCATGGCTTGGTATGTCATGGGGAGAGAAGCATCTGCCCCAACCCCTACATTGCTTATCTTCCGGGCACCTTCTGGTGAGTCTCCACCTTGAAGGAAGTGTTGGGAGCCTGGAAGCCAGTGTGGTGGCTCACACCTGTAATTTAAATACTTGGGATTAGGAAGGAGAATTACTAAAAGTTCAAGGCTAGCCTGATCTACATAGTGCATTTCAGAACAACTGCGGCTATATAGCCAGATTTTGTCTCAAGAGGAAAAAAAGAAAAACAAAAAAACAAGTTAGGAAGGAAGGAAGGAAGGAAGGAAGGAAGGAAGGAAGGAAGGAAGGAAGGAA